AACTTGACAACCTTCACTAATCAGTAACATCCACTGACATTTCGTAATATTCTAAAGAAATCTTTTCATATCCTGTCTTCGGATTTTTTTTTAAACAAGTAATATCTACTTGTATGTATTTCGATTAATCACTAAGTGCTCATATCAAAAAGTAGTCCTACAGATTAGTTAAAGGAAAACCCACTAAAAAGGTTCTATCTTTATTAAAATACTTCTCGAATTAAGGTATCCGACTACGTTCGGAACCGTGATTTTTCAAAAGCGTATAAATGGATAATATTTATGATATCTGGTGTCAATTAGATTAGAAAATGTATATAAAGTTGTTTTAAGAATAGTGTATTAAAATAAAAAATTATTTATAAGTACAATATTTTGACAAAAATTGAATATAGAATAAAAAATTTTCAAAATATCCTCCTTATTCCTTTAAAGTTAATTAATATCATTTTACTGTGTATATGTGCAGGATATATTTAGATCTCTTTGACGAAATCTGAAATCATTTAGTTTGATTATAGAGTAAATTTGAAAACAAATTACATATTTTCATATTGATAAAAATTACTTGATTAATAATTTCCGGTGGATTAATCAATTATTCAATTTTTTCGGACCAAACAACCATTTTTTCTTTTTCTTTTTTTAAAAAAGTCAATGCAATTAATTAACAGCAAAATCATAGTATGACCAATCTTTTAATGATAGTGATGACAATTTATCAGCTTACTTAAAAATTAATGATTCTGCTTTATTTTAGCTACAGACAGAAAATGCTATTAAAAAAATAAATCATGTAGCGCGGAATTCTTAGGACTTTTTTATAAATCAGAAACGTAGCATTTTTGTAATATTTCCAAGGAACTATTCTAAGCTAAGGGACCCAAAGGTAAAAGCGATACCACAAAAATATCTGCGAAACGCCCATTCTGTGTAATACACCGACGACATTTAAATACGATCTTCTTCAGCACACTCACACACACACACAAAAGGCGTTTCCTCCATACCCAATTTTTGATCCCAAATGTAACATGTAGTTGAAGAGGGAAACGAAACAGATATTTCCCTTTGTAACAGACTTTTATACTTACCACGTGTTTTTTTTTCTTTACGATATCATAGTAACCTTGTAACCGTTGCTATTAATTTTTCTTTCTTTCTTTTTTGAGGGGAAAAAAAGAAATAATGAAAGTTCGATAATGGATATATACTTCAACCACTTTATGTAATTTTTTCTAGCCACAGGATAAGTTGGGTGTTGATTTGTTGCATATCCAGAAAGATTCGTTGTAGAGAAGTTTGACTTGTTATTCATTTTCAGCTAAATGCTTTATACTTAGGAATTTTGTCCTAAAACTTTACGAAATAGTTATAAAGAAAAGTAGAATTTATACTATGAAAAGAAAAAGTTTGGGTAGGGAAACATGGTTGGTTTTCAAGAACAATTGGAAACAATATAAAATGAACCTAGATGAATATTATTTTGTCTCATATAAACAAAACTTTTTAATTAGCTTGATTTCAGTACGTATAAATTTGGTTATAGATTTAGGTTGTCGAGCATGAAATGGAGCAAAAAATGCATATAATATAATTCGATTTTTTTCCAATAAAACCTAAAATTTTAAGATGATCTGTTAATTTTTTTTTTCAAACCGAAATATGCGTTAAAAAGAGGAAAGCAAATTATGCTAAAATACGGCGTCTAAATGAGTTTATGTGCAATTGAAATAAATAACATGAACTCCATTTCATAGTTGACAACCTAATATTTACAACATGTATGGACATTTTTCTGTTTCTTTTGTAATTTTGCTTCTTCAATATCAATTATTGCTGGGTGTTTAATTTGTAGACAACTTTAAACTTAAATTATCCTAATGTTATAAGGACAAAACCCACATTCAAAACACTCTTGCTGACAGAAAAAAAGGATATAATATTGATAAAATATTGAGATTTCAATTCACTTCAAATAATTTATTTCCATTTGTGATACTTTTCTATATCACGCTTAATTATTATTATTATTATTATTTTACTTCTCAATGTCTGAAAATGAAGAGATTAGAGAATTCCTTTGTCCATTTGTAGTACCGCGGTACGTTCATGAGTTGAGTAACGCTTGAATCATTGTTTATTAATTTCGTACTTAGATGGTATGAGAGATATTGTCGATTTTCGTGGGTCGTTGGTTTGATTCCTTATTTTCACAGAAAATACCAGCTAAAGAGATAATGCCTATTAAATCTGTTGAACTTAAATCTTGACATTAGCGTGGTGTAGAGTAAAGAAGTGTTTATAAATTCTTTAATGCCCACTGGCGTATATCCGTCTTGCTCAACTGGTGCGTTGAATGCTCCGGATGCATATATGCGTCCTACCGAAAATCACTTCTTTTCTTTGCGCAATTATTAGTAAAACTATTCCGAAGGCTATGAAATGCAATAAAATGACGGTGGCGTTTGAGAAGAACTTACTTATATCAGAAAATAATTTACTTATTTGTGCCTCTCTCTCTTTTCTTTTCCTCCCAATACACCCCATAGTCGCACCTATGTGAAAAACGGTGGCACTGGGGAGCAAATTGCGTAACCTTTGATCTGTAGTTAAGGGGTTAACGTCTATAAAAAGCATCACGAAACCTAATGGTGACAGATCTCAAACCTTAAACCGCGGCTAAGTAACGACGTGACGTGGATACCTGAACTACCCCTCCTCCCCAACTCTCACACTATACCAACGTGAAGACTTCGAGCCTCGACAGATTTAAGGTGTATCTGCATGGTTGATTTTCATTGAATCTTGGGCTCGAACTCGACACGCTGGCCTTGGGCGAGACATGGAAGTTTAGAGGATGGGATGTGTGTCTATGCGAATTGAAGTGTTATTCTTGTCATTTGACGTTGCTTACAATTACTAAATCTGTCTCTAATAGCTCTCATATTGCTTCGGAGTACAACTTTAATAAAGACTACTGATCCGTAAAGAAAACTTTTTGTTTCAGTTCTTTAATTCAAGCTCAAATATGTATAATATGTTCATAACTTTGCCGGTCCGGTGGCGCAGTTGATTTGACTTTTATTTTTTACTCCCAAGTTTACGGGCTCGATCTGGGTCCAAGTCGGTGAATTTTTCTGATGCAAAAAATTGACATCGTCTACGTTGTATGAGGACGCGGCATGTTAAAGATCACTAGAGTGCCTGTTGACTTGGGCGCTCTCGACAAAATTAAATTTCTAGCACAATTTTTTATCGTCTGAGCTCAGGTACATTCCTCTGTGGAGGAAACAGGGTGCCAAATTTAAATTGTCACAAGTTATATCCACTTATGTGGTGCCACTTTAAAAGTGATACTAGCTTTAAAGGAATATACTAGATCTGCAATGGTGATTACCAATCAGCAGTCCCATTAGAAAACAAAATATAACTATTTTCATATTAGTTATTATTTATTTCTCTTGTCAAACATTAATATCTTAATCCAGCGTTTCACAAACTGTGGGGCACACCCCCTTAGAGAGCGTGATAACTCTGCGAGGGGGGCGTGAGCATATTGAAAAATCGTAAACAAAATATTATATTTTAAAAATTATTAATTTACTGAAAGTAAACAAATAAAATACATTCTCACATAATAAAAAATAATATATACATTTACATGTTATAATAAACTTATAAATGTATCAGTACTGCATAAAGTATTTCATAATTAATTTAACAGTACAACAAAAACAAGTTTAATAATTACCAGTGATGCCATGGGCTTGTCAAATATAAAATTATATACAAAAATTATCTTGATAATTTTTACGGTTTATAATTAATCCCATAACTGCCGAAAAAATGTTTCGCGATTCGCTTCTCAATGCCACCGTTTTCTACGTAGGAAGAAGAAAAAAAGGGGGGAGGGGTTGGATAAGCAAATCTTCTGAAGTAAGTAAATCCTTCACAAACACTGTCTAGGTCGTTTTCTTGCATACAAAAGCCTTCGGAAAAATTTTACGGATAACAGTGCTTAGAAAAGATCGTAATTTGGAAAGACGTATATATACGTCCAAGTCAATTAACGCTTTGGTTGAGTGAGATGTTTATATACGACGGTGGCACTTAAGAGGTTAAAGTCATATTGTAGCCTTAGCGTCAAAGTATAGCCTTATTGAATTCAATAGATTGATATTGTAAGGAAGGAGGACGCGATGAAAATTATGATTAAAATGGGCCGCAAGTATTGAAAGTTTGAGAAGCACTGCTTTAATCAATATCTTTAATTAGTACTTAAAAATTTTTTAACATGTTTACACTATAGCGATTGTGAAACTATCAAAAAATAAAAGATAATAATAATTTAAGTAAATGTCTGAATTTGTTCAAAAGAGGCTGAAACTTTTCACATGAAATCAGAATTTAATAAACAAGTTAGAAAAAAAAAAGATCCAGTCTCACAAATTAAATTGTTTGGAAAATATTAGACTTCCCATTTAAAAGCTAATGAAAGTTAAATACAAAACTCCTAGGGATGCTATTGTATTTTTAAAGCAGAAAAGGAGATCAGAAACTTTTGAGAAAATTGAATTAAAGGCTCTTGAATAGCATCATTTAATTTAAATATCTCCAGTGGATAGAATAAAAAGTTGTCTTCTAGGTACGGTTTAACATTTTTTTTCCTTAATTCTATTTGAATGTGTTATCGATTCGTTTTTGTAATGTGCAGTGAAAGAGGTGTTGGATAATATTAATTGAACTCTGAAAGACGTAACTTATATATATTAGTTAAATATTTTTTTTAAAAATTTAAATCAAAGTTATTTTTTATAAACGAAAATTGATACGATTTGGTTATCGAGGTACTCGAAGTTTTATAATTCGAAACTCTTCCCGACATTGTTTTAAAAAATCGAATATTAAGATGTTGGAAGTGTGTTATCATAAAATGAAAAAAGAGAGAGGAATAATGAAGGAATAAAGTTTTTTTAATTAAGCATACAAAAGCCCCAACGCTTATACCATGCTGAAAGCACCGGTTCTTCTCGTCCGATCATTGAAGTTAAGCATCATCGGGCGTGGTCAGTATTTGGGAGGAGGAACACCGCGTGTCGTTGGAATACTTTTTTGCCTGCTGGGTGGCGTAGTTGGTTTGTTACTGTCCTTCTGTACCTAAGGTTGCGGGTTCGACTGCGGCCTAAGTCGGTGGATTTTCCTGATGCAGAAAGTCGACAGCGGCCATGTGAGATTATACCGCGTGAAAAAGATCTCTTGAGTGTCCGTTTCGCTTGGAAGCTCTCGGCAAAATTAAATTTCTAAGTCCCAATTTCGCATCAGCAGAGCTCAGGAGCCTCCCTCTAGGGAAGGAACTCCGTGTCAAAATTATTTGTGGTAATTGGAAAAAAGTGATACCAGCTCCTGGGGAATGTACTAGGTCTTCAAAGATAGAAATTCCAATACGCAGCCCTATTAGAGGGAAAAAACTGTAATGGCTGTAGTTAATCATTGTAGTGTTTTGAAATAGTAGAAAAAGTTTAATGTAGAAACAGCTATAAAATCTTACATTTATCATCATTCACTTTAATTTTATCATTATCCTGATTTAGTCTAATTTTATCATTGCCATGATTTAATTTGTTTTTCTTACCATTATCATACTTTAGTTAATTTTCTCATTATCACATGATTGAAATGAATTTGAAGATGATCCGGATTTAGTTAATTTTATCATTATCATCATTTTTAGTTTTAATTACATTTTATTGTTGTACTATTTAGTATTATTATTGAACTGAGATGAATTAACTTTATATGCGTAATTATTCTCTGTCTCTAAATGAAATCTAAAAAGGAAAGATATTAAAGAAAATTTACTGATATATTAGTTTTATATTTCTTAAAAATTATATTCATCTTTCTTAATATTTTTTTTATATATTGGTACGTAGATCCGGGGTTCGAGGATTTTATGCAAATCAGCCCGGGGGGAAAAGACAGTTCAAGGCAATGAGAATTTATTGTCGAAAACCCAATCCTTAAAATACATTTTTAGCAGTAATTTTTTACAGAATAAATCTCAAAAGGTCACACATTCAGCTCTCAAACAAAATTATCGTGTTAAAACCTTAATAAAAAAATTTTTTCGCTCCTTTAACGACGAAGAAATCACTATTCGCTTCAAAATCAACAAACTGTTGCTAGTAAACCAGACAACTGACTTTAAGCCAGCACTTCTATACCCTGCGGATAATTCGTAAAAGACCCCTTGGTATAAATCTTAAAATTTATGATTTTCTCTAATTTCTAAAAAAAGTCAGAGGGTCCCGAACTGGGAAAAATGGCGCCATCATGATCCCCAAAGTGAAATTTTCCCAAAAAAATGCCCCCAACTGGGCTCTATCCCCAAATTTTTTTCCAATTTCCCCGTTGAAACTATTAAACGAAAGGGACAGCGTTGCTTGTGGATATTAAAATTTTTAACGAAAATTAAAATTTTAAAAGTGTAAGATAAAGGCATTACACATCCACTTTTTTAAAAAAATTTTAAAAAAATATTATTCTACTTTTTTTATTTAAATATTTGAAGTTTTTTATTTTCTTCAAAGTATGTTTAAATAAAAAATATTTTCTGTTTTGCATCATTCAATTAAATTAGGTTTCCAAAATTTTTTCCTCAATTTTAGCTTTATCTGAAAAAGGGCAAATGAAATTAGTATACAAAAAAAAAATATTATATTTTTTTATGTGTCCCATTTTGTTTTCCTACTGTCTATGGTTTTTGAATGGATTGATGGATGTTTATCTTTTTTTGAGAAAATTAATATATATATATATATATATATATATACGTAAAAGGGGAAAAAACGACTCCTTTTAATCTCTTCTAAACAGGATCTTCGGGAAATATGGCCTCAATCTTGAACCAAAAAAAATATTTGTTTAAAAAAGTAATTTAAAATGACAACGGTATATGGGGAAAATTTACCCAAGAAAGGGGTTTTGGGGCTTTTTTAAAACAACAATTCCCGTTTTTTTTCTCTAACAAGTTTTAAAATTTTGTAAGCATATTTCTACTATTCAGTAGAGATTCGTAAAAATGGGTTTTGAAAAAATTCCCCCGGGAGTTGCGGATAGAGGTTCAGAGACGATAGAGAAAAAATTCTCACCTTTTTGAAATATTATACTTACAAGTTTGAAATTTGGTAAGCATGTTTCCTTTGTTGAGTAAATATCCGTTAAAAAGGGGGTTGGGGGAAATCGAGGTTCACAATGGGTTACGGGGTATAATAATTAAGAAAATTCCCTTATTAAGGTATCCGACTACGTTCGGAACCGTGATTTTGGAAAAGCTTATAAATGGATAATATTTATGATATTTAAACTACGAAAAACATATAAAAAATTGAAAGAATATTAAAAAAAAAAATTATTTAAGTACAATGTTTTAACGAAAAATGAACATAGAATGACCCATTTTCAAACATTCTCCCTTTTATGAAAAAACTTCTATTGTAATAAACTTCCCTGTATTACTCAGACCCTATAAAAGGGCAAACCCCAAATTTTGATACATAAACAAAGGTGGTTTATCAAATTTTTCCACCACAATAGGGGTGAAATTTTAAAAAAAAAAACTCAATAGTTAATTCAAATGGTTGTAATTTGAAAAAAGTAAACTTTTCAAAATCTGTTGCTTCTGAAATTTTTTGTTATATAAGCCAAATGCTTTTATTATAAACTTTTTTTAAAAAAGGGCTGGAAAAAGTTCAAGTAAATTTTTTTAAAATTTTATTTAAATATTTTTTTTCAAAACTCCCCAAAACTTTTATCAGATTTAAATTAAGTACTTTTGAAATTCCATTTTGTGATTTTTAAAACAGGTCCCAGCGGAATTTAAACAAATACGAAAAAAAGGGGGTTTCTTTTTTGAATAGAGATCCACTAAAAAGGGTGCTTGAGGAAATCGACTAAAGGGAAGCTGCGGGGGGAGTTCGATGTTAAAACTCATGTTTTTAAATCAAAGGAAAGTGCTAAAAGAATATTTTAATATAATTTAAGACAGTGCTTAGCCAACAATAACGTAAAAAGAACGTATAGTCGTACAATGTCATAAAATATCAGGCGAAGGGGCAGATACATTTTTAAAAGGTTTTATGTTTTTTAAAAAGAATTGGAAAAGTAATATTTCATAGTTTTTAGTTATTTTTATAATTATTTTTCAAAGATATATATTTATGAAGTAGTTTGAAAAATATTTTTAAAACTAACCAGAAAACAAATGTTGAATAATGTATTTTATTCTTCACTAATTTTTAAAGAATTTCATCTATGACATGAAAAACTTTTTCTTTAACAGTATAAACACAAAATATCCCGAACATCACTATAAACAAACTTTAACAAGCATTCGGAGCAATTTTCAAAGAATAGTTTGGATAAGCACTGATACAAAGACACAGTACAATTTATTCGTAAAAATATTCAACGTTATTTCTTGGTATGCTTTTATAAGAAAGAAAAGCAAATGTTAAAACGGAATAAAGTAGCAATAAAATATTCCGAAAGCTCCGGTTTGAGTGTCGGAGCTTATTACAAAAGCTAGTAAAGCTACTTTTATTCGAAGAACAGCTCGTCGCACCTGTCGCTAATATGGTAACGGCTGGATTTATGAACGAAAAAGAATCAACGAATTCAATGAAATAATTTAACGACGTTGTACAAAAACGCATCAACGAGCATAGTAAAAGGGTGCACAGAAAAAAAAAGAATTATTTTTGCTATATTTACAGTTTACAGAGAAATAAAAGTTGAAGTAAGTAAAAAGCTATTTTTTGTGTCTTTACGCGTGAATTTAGCAACGATAGATTATATACTGTAGATATGAATTTGTGGTTGTGTACAGTGCCATAGCTAGGTATTTAAAGGCACTGGTGCTAAAAAAATGAACGTCCTATCTTGGGTAGATTTGATCGAGTAAAAATATATTAAAATTTTAAATAAACAAAGGCACGATTTTTGTTTACTACTTTTTCTATCTTGCATTGCTTGTCTTAAAGGCATCACGGGTTTTTTTTTTTAATACCTAATTTCAGTTTTATAATTTATGCAATACATTTCGTATGTGCTTGAGTACATACTGACTTCAAGAGGAAGAAGAAACGTAATTTGGGAAAAAAGAACTCACCCACGAGAGGGCTTAGAGCTACAAAATAATCCACCGAGATAGACAGGAAATGATACACAAAATATGCATGAACAAGAAAATATAATACTATATAAAATATAATACTTTGTTATAATATATTACCCAATTTAAAAAAAAGAGCTGAGGAGGGAGGGCAAAAATTACATCAGTCTATTGCAGATGCAAGAAGATTGTGAAATATTGAAACAGGAGACCAGCTTATTGTGAATCATATAGATATTAAAATAAAATTAACTAGGAAGGAATTGCATCTTATGTAGGGTTTTTAAGATGACATAATATAGTAAGTTTTTTTTGGAACTTTCAACTAACAGTTTATAGAAAAATGAAAGAAATTGAAAATACAAACGACTAACAAAAAGAATTTAGATGAATTCCCTATAAATTAAAAATAACTTTCAATGGAATTGCCATGATTATAGTTACGCTGCAGCCTTTTATATTTATATCTTAAATTTGGGAGCAAGTCTCGCAAGTTAGACTTGATTGGTCATCAGGGCCTGTCGGCCTTCTGGGTTGAGAGCCTTAATGTATGGCACTGCCTAGCCTATTGGTAGCTACGTCGCTGGTTGTGTAAAATGATCAGCTACAAATGAAGAAGTCGAATTAAGAATGTAATTTAAGTAATTTCAAACAGTAGGATATAAGTATCTTACGCAACGTCTAAGTACAGAATTTATGTATAGTATCTAAATGTTATTTTTGTATTAGAAGGATAAGCACGACGTAGCCTTACTTTAATTACTCGAATAAAATGGGTTGAAAATAGTATTCAAGTACAACATTTAGTTCAATGGAAAAGGAATTTTGAGTATGGATGAAAATGAACTTCTTGCAATATTCATACTTCAAATAGTAATCCAAAAAGGATATAGAAAAAAACTTTGATATAAAGACAACAATTAAGT